ATAACAGTTTGTATAATTTTAGCTTTTAGCTACAATGTCACTAATTTAGGCTTTTACCTGTACTTTAGCTTATTTTAGCTTTTAACTTAAAAAGGTAAATGGTAAATGGTACTGAACTTATAGAACGCTTTTCAAGTCCCTCCGGACCCCAAAGCGCTTTACACTAACAGGCATTCACACTCACATTCACACACTGATGATGGCAAACTACACTGTAGCCACAGCTGCCCTGGGGCACACTGACAGAGGTGGGGCTGCCATGCATCGGCGCCACCGGACCCTCTGACCACCATCAGTAGGCAAGGTGGGTGAAGTGTCTTGCCCAAGGACACAACGACTGAGAAGGCTGGACCGGGGATCGAACCAGTGACCTTCTGGTTCCAGGACGACTCCCCTAACCACTCCGCCACAGCTTTTAGCTATGGCCTTGCTAATTTTAGCTTTTAGCACCAGCAGTCACCTTCTCAACATTTAGCAGCAAGTTCTCAAAGAAACGCCAACCTTCGCCCACAATTGCTCCACTTCTCGGGCTCAGCCACCACTCTCTCAGGCCGTGTTAGAATACAGCAACAAGCTAGCAGATCGCGCCAAATTAGCATGATGCTAACGCTTCGGGTGTCAGATCTATATCGCTTCCTTTTCTTTCCATAAACAGAATCTTTCTGGTCTCTCAGCGTCAGTTTTAGCTGTGGAGGAGAAAACATCTCCAGCAGTTTGAGAAGAAGCTAAACATGCTCCGTTCTTCTTTTAGGAACAGTTTTGTCTATCCATCATCCTCCATGTTGGTGATGTTTGAACATGTTAGGTCGTTTAGCATGAAGGGGTTTCAGCTATAAATAAAACTTCTTACCTCTTTGGAGACGTTCTTCATAGAACAAGCAGCTTCACACATCTTCCTGGCCTTCTCCATCRGTCCCAGATATTTGTAGCACTGCGAAAGACAAGATCAGAGGCGGTCAAAAGGCTGACTGGATTCAGCAGACCAGACCTCCATTAACCAGACAACCACAAACCTGATGGTTCCAACACTGACCTTGGCCAGAAACACATAATTCAGTTTGGAGTAAGCAGGATGAAGCTCTTCCACCTGTAATAAAAAGATAGAAAAATTAGTTCTTTATGGTCAGAAACAGCAAATACAGAAACTGGGTTTATGGGATGTTCTCCATCTGTACGTGACGAGCGACGTGCRGCGACACGAGCCGATTCAATCAAAGCGCTGAGTGAAGACACCAGGAAGAGGCACGCACATGAAAGCTGGCCAGCAGCAGAACTATTTTCTACACTATATAAACAATGGAAATGTGGGAACAAAGATCAGAGCTGCGTAAAAACACAGACGCTCCTGAAAACTGAGCCGAGGAGCGAGCTGGAGGCGATGAACAGGAGGTGCAGGAGAAGCTCAATTCATCAGGACTGCCYAGACGCTCAACACGACTGAAACAACGAAGAACTCAGACATCAGAAATCAGGAGAAATGTCTTTAAAACTGATTTATCAGAAGTTTTAATCAAACTTGCCATAAAAGCCTCTGGTCATTGAAGCATCTTTATTAATGTTTGGTTGATTATTCTCTCTGTTTATCAAAGAAACATGACATGACATGACTGACATTTTAGGATCGTTGTTTCTGAACGATTATAGTTTATGTTTAGGTCAGCTCAGAGTTCACAGACAAACTCTCATTAACGTCCACTGTTTCCTTTTTAAACAGGAAGAGGAAGCTCTTTTCACTTTTTTTTTTAAATGTAATGTTGACATTTTAAGAAACAGTTCAAATAAATCAGTTAAAAAATGCAAACTGAAGTTTGTACTTTGAGAAAATTCTTCAGAGCGTCTTCAATGGTGGCACTGGGAGGTTCTCCGAACAGAGTTGTGGCAACTTTTCTCTCAATCCACGACAACTGAGCAACCTGTCAAAACAAATCAAACACATTTGTTTAATAAACCATTTAATGAACAGAAACAAAGTGCTTCACTGTTTTTTTTCTGTCTGAAACTAAAGTCCATAACTTTTACCCCTAAATGACCAGTAAAAACACTGAACATCTGCAAACTGCTCTTTATTGCCCAGATTATCTTTTTTACACAAAATCATTGTTTAATGAAGCTCAGCATGTTACATTGTTACATTATTAGCATGTTACAGCTAGCAGTGACCAAAAACAACCAGACAAAATTACAAAGGGATGCCAAAWTTGAGACTGTTTTGCAACCAGCGGTTGCTATAGCCTTGTAGCAGGAAGGTATGGATACGCTGGTGTTAGCATTGGAGAGGCTAGCGACTAGCATGCCTAGGCTACTCACCTACTTTATTAGACACTAACTTTTTTGGATAAAGAAAACTCTCTCTATAAAGCGAACTTTCTCTAAAATGTTCCAACTTGATAGTTCTGGATTTTCTTATATGAGAAAATGCCAGCTTATCCATGCTAGTCGCTAGCCTCTCTAATACTAACACCAGCTTATCCATGCTGGCTGCTAGCCTCTCCGATGCTAACACCAACATATTCATGCTAGTCACTAGTCTCTCTGATACTAACGTCATCTTATCCATGCTAGTTGCTAGCCTCTCTGATGCTAACACCAGCTTATCCATGCTAGTTGTTGGCCTCTCTGATGCTAACGCCATCTTATCCATGCTAGTCACTAGCCTCTCTGATGCTAACGCCATCTTATCCATGCTAGTCGCTAGCCTCTCTAATACTAACGCCAGCTTATCCATGCTGGTTGCTAGCCTCTCCGATGCCAACACCAACATATTCATGCTAGTTACTGGTCTCTCTGATGCTATTGCCAGCTTATTCATGCTAGTCGCTAGCCTCTCTGATGCTAACGTCATCTTATCCATGCTAGTCGCTAGCCTCTTTGATGCTAACACCAGCTTATCCATGCTAGTTGCTGGCCTCTCTGATGCTAACGCCATCTTATCCATGCTGGTTGCTGGCCTCTCTGATGCTAACGGCATCTTATCCATGCTAGTCGCTAGCCTCTTTGATGCTAACACCAGCTTATCCATGCTGGTTGCTAGTCTCTCCGATGCTAACACCAACAAAGTCATGCTAGTCACTAGCCTCTCTGATGCTATTGCCAGCTTATTCATGCTAGTCGCTAGCCTCTCTGATGCTAACGTCATCTTATCCATGCTAGTCGCTAGCCTCTTTGATGCTAACACCAGCTTATCCATGCTAGTTGCTGGCCTCTCTGATGCTAACGCCATCTTATCCATGCTAGTCGCTAGCCTCTTTGACGCTAACACCAACTTATCCATGCTGGTTGCTAGTCTCTCTGATGCTAACACAAATGAAAAATGAATAGTCTCCTTRTCATTACCCAGCTCCGGCCTCTCAGTTAGCGGAGCCGGCCTATCAATAATCAGATCAATAGCTGGATTAGGAATAGATAYCCTCCTGCTACAAGAARGTAACAACTACTGGTTGTCTTAATTTTGGCCCTCARACCGCACTATAAGATAAAGACTCCAGATGACCTCTGAATGTGGTCGTTTTCACTGCATTTTGCGAGTGAGAAATGAAACAGGTGAGGGAGGGGGTGGGGTTACATACAGTGTAGCACCAGCGGCCCAGCAGGTAGTAGGACAGGGGGTCCTGCGGGTTCAGCTCGATGGCTTTATCCAGATGATCCTGGGAGGAGAGACAGAGGCTGTTCAGAGCCGATTCATGATAGCAGCTGCAGTTTCTTTCTGTTCTGACCTGATCTGTCCTGCTTCACCAACACACAAGTATTTCACAAACACCTGGCACACACGCGATCCTGCTGAAGCACCCTGCCTGCTCCCCGGCTCTCACAGACCCTCCCTCCTTTATTTGATGACTTTTTGTTTTCCCTCACCGGCGCTCTACCTCCCGCTCTTTCACCTGTCAAGAGTTCTGAAGGTACACAGTGTTTATGGAAGCTGCTGACAGAAGATAAAATGCTACGTGCAGTTGTTCCACACATGGTCTTATGTAACTGCTTGTTAGAAGGAGGGGCTCCCCGACTTAAATGACCCGAGTATCAAATCCCACAGTTTCATCAAATTACACCAGAGACGTGTTCTGTAGGTTTTAGTTTGTGCCTCACCTTAAAGATGTAGCCGTTCTTTATCCTGTTCTGTATCGTGTCATATTCTGCCATAATTCCACACATAACGGCGTACCTGTAYAAGTAAAATAAGACAAAACTCATTTTCACATAAAGAAACGTAATTAAATACAGATCAGACTTTGAGCTTGTTTGATGGTCGAGCGCAAATCAGAAGCAAAAACCAACTCATGCAGGAAGGCGACGCTTCAGGTGAAGTCAGAGTGAAAGAAAAACATTTAACAGTTCTCTTCAAACAGACTCATGAAATATGTTCTTCCCTGATCTTAATACAGAAGAAGTGTGGCTGTTTGGAGCGGCCGTGTGGTTGGACAGAAACTGACAGAAACTGGTTGTTTGGAGCATTTAAAGAACACAAGGTGTTTTACACAAGGAGCAACTCAACACCATCGTGATGAAGATACAGTGAGGCTGACAGCCGCTCACTAAGCTGCAAGAACATTTTATTACAATCAGACTCAAACTGATTATTTCACAATATTAGATACAAAAACTAAATTCATGTCTCATTTGTTGTTATTTTATAACCCTGCGTAACATAATTCTGTACTTATTTGTTGTTGACCATCAATCAGGGACCATCTCTGGAAAAAAAAAAACGATTGGAGGYCCTCAGGGGAAAGAGGGCCACTGAGGGCCAATGAGGACACAGAGTTTAAACGTGCAGAAAGGTGTGTCTCGCATCAGGGTTCTACCCGCCATTGTTTTTATTGTCAGCTGTAATTTTATCTCCCAAAAGAAAAAAAAGAAAAAGAAAAAAAATCAAGAGGAGAAAGTGAGCAGCAGCGAAACATGACGAGGGAGGATGAGGTGAGGACAGAGATCTTTTAGTGAGTTTTAGGTATAAATCCCCTCCTCTGCTGGGCAAAAACAAAAGGCCTAAAGTGCTGGGCGCTTTGTGGAAACGGCAGATTGATTTCAGCTTCAGGTCCAAACATAAAGAGCTCATTGAAATGCAAGAGGGCCCGGCAGGACTCCGGGCCAAAACCTGAGCAGAGACAAGAGGAGCGGCTGCAGAAACTCAGCGTGTCAGGGTGATGCTAGAACGCTGAGCTGTTAATAATTATACAAGTGTTTCAAATAAAACAAACAAGTTTAAACTTGATTTTACAAATAAAAAAGTTCTTATGCTTCACTTATTGTCTTGTCAATCATTACTTCCTGTTAAGACGTATCAGATCAACTGCAAGTAAATAAGTAAAGTTTTATTTATAAAGCACATTTCACAGAAATATATTCACAAGGTGCTGTACAATCATCAACAATGTAAAAATGGCGGAAAGTTAAAATGAAACATAAAACAAACAACAGAATGAAACATCAAATCAAGAATAAATTCTAAAATTGTAACTCAGACACACGGTTGAGGCAGAGCATGACAAGAGATGAGTGTTATGTATGCAAGAATGTAAAAATCATAAGAAAAATTGTTGAATAAAAAAGGGGTGTGGGGTGGTGAAATTTATGCTAAATATACAATAATACAAAAATACAGAGAGAAGGGGGAAAGAATATTATGCCGTATGTTCAATAATATAAAACAGATAGTTGGCGAGCAGTTACTGAAGGGTAGGTTGCCATTAATGGTGAATGGTTAGCTAAAAGCTTGAGTAAAACTGTGTTTTTTTAGGTATTTCTTAAAGGAAACAGTGTTATCAAAGGAGCACAGATTAACAGGGAGTTCATTCCAGAGCCTGGGGGCCACAGAGGAGAAGGACCAGTCACCACGGGTCTTAAAGCGAGTGAGGGGAACCATAAGGAGGTTTTGATCCTGTGAGCGGAGGTCTCGTCTGGGGTTGTAAGGGGAAATGAGACTTTTAATATAGTTGGGTGCTTGGCCATGTAGAGCTCTGAAAGTGAGGACCAGGATTTTGAACCGGATTCTGAACTGAACCGGAAGCCAGTGAAGTTCTGCCAGGATCGGGGAGATGTGGGTGAATTTGGAGGTTCGAGTTAGGAGTGTTGCTGCCGAGTTTTGGACAAGCTGAAGGCGATTTAACTGTTTCTGGTTTAGGCAGGTGAACAAGCTGTAACAATAGTCTATGTTAGAAATGAAGGCATGAATTACCATTTCCAAGTCTGAAGTGGACAGTACGGGAACTGCAAAGACCTTGAAGATAAAATCTGTGAMCTCAGTGTCTTAATGTACCACCTGCGCTACAGTCCCACTTTGTGGTCATTTCCTCCCTCTGTATAGCCAACCAGGGACTTTGAATTTGCATAACAGGCTGTTCAAACTATTCAATTGGTTGTCACCTTTTGACTGACACCTCTTTTGACCAACTGAGTTCATCTATAGACTCTCCAGATCCCAAAATATGTGGCGAGCCCCTCATGTCCCACCTGTTAATGGTGACTAGCTGTGTTTTCATTTACCATAAAAATGCGCAAATTAMAATTGCGAAAATAAATTAGCTTAATGTAAACATGCCAATTTCGAAAGAAAAAAAAACATGTTTTTCGACAAAATGGTTTTGCGCTAGGATAAGGTGTTTTTTTTTTTCAGCCGTATCGAAATTGGTGTATTTCGCACGTGATCAACAACCGGATTTTGCTACTGGCGAAAAAGACGACAAAGAAGAAGACAACKGAATTTAGAAGCAGTAAAATCACCTATTACAATTTCCCAACGCAGCCTTTGTAACTGCTCTCAAGTATAAGGGTCTTGTCGCTGGAAAGCCTTGATAAGACGCCGACGTCTACTCTGATGATGAGCGCTAGTGTCGTAGTAGCAACATGCTATGTGTTTACATCCGTTTCTTCCATGTTTGTAATGACTTATCACGAGAACAAACATATTCACGTATTATTTTAAAAGCATTTCTTACTTAATGGAAACACTGCAGTTGCGAAACTGTGTTTTTTCGACATTAACAGAATATCAACAAAGTTTTGCACACATTTGTAATGGAAACACAGCTACTGATTGACTAGAATCGGCCAATCAGCTCTGAGTTTGTATTTGATATGCAGCTTTGGAAATTAAAAAACAAGTTAATAGTTATAATGCATTTTAACTTCAATAACTAAACATTAGTTACAGTTTATGAAAATATGACTGCTCAAGATAAAAATTCAGATTGAAAGCTTTACATAGAGACTTGCGAATTTAATCCAAGGGGCTCAAGAGGAATACCAGATGTAATCTGTTATAGGCCCAAAGGGTACCAGGTTAAATAAACGGTATTAAAACTATAACTGTGTGTTTTATATAAACCACTCAATGTGGGAAACAGAGCTGCAGCTTTCACTGAGCTAGAGCACATTCACAAAAAAAATCAGGTTTGCTCAGATTAACCTCCTCACCCAACTTATTAAGCTGTCACTCAGACGACTGAATGAACGAGCATTAATAAGGATTTACAGCTCATATTTCCACATATTAAAGCGTAAAACCTTGTTAGGGTATAKTACTAATTTAAAAACAGCAGTTCCTTTAAGTTGGAGAACCGTATTTGTTCAGGTTACAGAAAAATAAGTTTGTTAAAAGTCAGAGTGGCTGAGCAGGAAGTGGCGGGTCGTGTGTTTAAACAGCACCTGCCAGAGTGCGACGAGCTGAGAGGCATTCACAACAAGCAGGTGACAAGTTTTCTCACGATATGGGCGCTCTAAGTAAACAGTTACCTCAGACATAAACTTCCTTTCAGCTGCAGCTGGCACCGCTCCCAGACCCGGCCCTGCTCCCTTCTCAGGAAAAATGGGTTTACCTCCTTCGATAAGGACATTTTGATGGAATTAAATCACCAATAAGCTGCTTTTAAAAAAAAGCTGCTTCTTACAATTAACTAAACAAACACGGCCTTTCTGTACCAGCCTGAGCGCCGCGGTACGCTCAGCTGAGATTACTGAAACTTTGTCTTAAGCTCTTTTCTGTGACAATAAAAACCATCTCGACCCGATGAGACAGTTTCTCCAACCGTAACGTGCACGTCGGCAGGAATTTGTTTTATATAAACAAAAATTTTTAAAAAGGATGCATCGTTCCCTTCTTCATATTTGCTCAATCCTGAAGGAACATTAAACAAACAGGAATGAGCAACGCAGCGTTTAATCCCCGCAGATTATTTGCAGGAATCCGCTGCGTCTGCAGCAGCGTTTGACCTTCTGTGCTCCTGCTGTGAAGCCGTTGTATAATCAGTCAAGTTTTGACACGAGCAGAGTTTTACAAGTGGAATGCATCGAGGCCTGTGCAAATACAAATACGATTTCTGCAATCAGGTAAGAACAGCTAATTAAAACGAGGGGATTTTTCAGCCTCGGTCATAAAGCAGGAGGGCTGGAATACAAGAGGAGAAAAATCTGTTAAACGTTTTAATGCCAGGAGAGGAGACAGCTATTAATACGTTAATTTATTGCCACACTAATGCCTCCAGAACAGGAATAACTGCAATTTTAAGAGATTAATTTGAACAAAACAGTTTCTGTAAGAATCGTGAAGAATGCASCTACTTCCTGAAACTCGTTCCTCTCTAAAAGACCTGTCGCACTTTTACACAACTTGTGTATTTTATGTCTAAATTACAAATAGAAGTTATATTTTTAATCATTTTATTAGCATTACAGTAAGTGTACAAAGATAAAAGAGGCGTTCAGTTGATGTCTTTACAACTTCACAAGATGTCTAAACGTTAACAGGGTCTTAAAGCCCAGCAGGAGTTTGGATTTAAACCAACAACCCCACAGAAACCCTGGAGACACCATGGAGTCCACAGAAAGACAGAGAAGTCTGGATGGACAGATTGATGGATGGATGGATGGATGGATGGATGGATGAATAAATGGATGGATTAATGGATGGATGGATGGATGGATGGATGGATGGATGGATGGATGGATGGATAAATGGATGGATGATGGATGGATAAATGGATGGATGGATGGATGGATGGATGAATAGATGGATGGATGGATGGATGAATAGATGGATGGATGGATGGATGAATAGATGGATGGATGAATAAATGGATGGATGGATGGATGAATAGATGGATGGATGAATAGATGGATGGATGGATGGATGAATAGATGGATGGATGGATGGATGAATAGATGGATGGATGAATAAATGGATGGATGGATGGATGAATAGATGGATGGATGAATAGATGGATGGATGGATGGATGAATAGATGGATGGATGGATGGATGGATGGATGAATAGATGGATGGATGGATGGATGAATAGATGGATGGATGAATAGATGGATGGATGAATAGATGGATGGATGGATGGATGAATAGATGGATGGATGAATAGATGGATGGATGAATAGATGGATGGATGAATAAATGGATGGATGGATGGATG